GCTTCACCACGAGCAGCATGATGTAGCCCCTTTTGAATTGGTTGCTCCGTGTTGCAAAGACTCTATAATGTGGACGATGAAATCATGGAAAAGTTTAGGCAGCGACGTTATTAGAAGTGGGTTTTCGGGTCTATCCAACAGAACGACAACTCGAAGAAGAGGATTGCGAGTTCATCACCCCAGAGACCGATCTTGTGGAGGCGTTAGAGATTCTCGGTTCTATCGAGGAAACAATTGATGACTCGGACGACATCATTGAACGATACACAGAAGTGGCAGAAATCGAGTAGGTAATGCATCCAATTGTTGATTTGCTTTTGTATGAGACTGTAAACAAGGTTTTTCATTTGCTGTCACTTTTCTTGCTTGTATGCAATTTATGCCTGTCCGGCTACACAAATGTTATACAGTACAGACATCAACTCGTTACAAGAAAGACTGCGTTAAAAGGATTAAATGGTTAAAAGGGTTAACCCTTTAACTACCAGCTCAGCTGGCGATGCTTATATGCCCGCAGCGGACTCCTAGCACCACTGCTACTTGCTGGTGATTGGACAGAATCAAACAGAGGGGTCGGGGATTCAGCCCACCAAGACTAACAGGTCGACTGAGGACCTGTAGCTGCACATCTCCCACGTCGTACCGATACGGACACAATAGTTAGAGGCGGGATAAGTTTGAATTTTCAAATTGCTCTCAGGCTGTACAGTACCAATGCAGTCACTTTGGGATTATTCCGCGGCCCGACAATGGAGATTCTGGACCTCCTCAACGGCGACGACGACGGAGCCGACTGCGAGTTTGAGGTTTCTAACACCGAGGGCAATGCAGCTACCGGCGCCGAATGTAAAGATGACGAGGAGTCCGAAGGCGAGACGCCGCCATTGCATACAACACACCTGTAGAGCATCGTCGTACTGGTAACCCCTACGTTAGGGCTCATCCACAACAGCGGCCTCTATATCGACCGATAGAACGAAGTGAAAGAGGTGTACAGAGAAAGAGAAAGAGAGAGGAGAGCTGGATTTCTTCTCGCTCTTCTTCACCAGAGAGTTTCGGGACTCGTTACGCACCTGGACTAACAAGATGCTGAAGGAAAAAGGCAAGTGTGGTGTACGAGCTAGACGTACATTGAGCTGGAAATAGCCATGATTTTCAACCCAGTATCGGAGATAAAGGAGCTCTGCTCGACTAAGCTTTTCATGAGCAGTCCGACTTTTGCCGCCACTATGGCTCGAAACCGTTTTGAGAACCTACGCGCGCGCTTTCAGGTCCCCACACCGGGGCGCGTTCCCGTAGAGCACCGAGAGCAAGATCAATTGCGATGTACCCGGCGCCTGAGGTGCCAGATCTGAGTGAAATTCGCTGCGATCGCAGTTCTGGTAGAAGCAATAAGCCTTGACGAAAACACAGGAAGAACTATAGCACGCTCAGCCGCGGAGACGTATCTGCCTTTAAAGCCTGATAAGTATGGAGTACGGTTTTAAACCGTCGTAGGCTGGAAACGTCTGTATGCCTACGCTATATGGGGCAACAGGACGAGCCCGTCTCGTACAGAGCGCTTCATAAATGTGTTTCCTGGGCTTCGCTCCGGATTGCTCAGAACCCTGGAGCGGAATGATAATTATCCACGCAACTACAGCGTTGCTCACTTGACGAGCAGTTGTCAATCGCTCTCCCCCTACCTCCTCTCGGTGAACTACACCAAGTAAAGTGCGAAAATGCTCAGACTTGACTCGAGCAAGGGGCTTGGCTAAAACGTCGGCCGTCATTTGAGCTGTACCACAATGTTGCGCTTTGAGGAGATCACGATTCTGAAGATTTCGAACATAGTGAAATTGGTGCTCTCGCGTTTGCTTCCGTTAAATTTACCTGGCTTTTTCGATAGTGTAATTACCCCCATGTTGGCGCACTACAAAGCTGGTAATTCGAAAGGCCACTTCGGTTCATCACAGAGTCCACGCAACCACATTATGTCACGTACCCCTTCTTTCATAGCGATGTATTCCGCCTCCATGGTACTCTGCGCATTAAGGTCCTACTTCCGAGGCCCGTACGAGACGGCACTGTCATTAATCATCGTCACGTATCCACTGACTGACGATCGCATTTGTCGTTTGCATAGTCAGCATCATTGTATGCTTCTGGCCGCAACAATTTCACCTTCGCCGTTCCAGTCATAATCATGCGAAGCCCAAAGTGTTTAATCGCTTGCAAATACCGCAACACACGCTTTGCCTGCGCAAAATAGGCTGCCATAAATATAGCCATGTGCTGACCAAGTTTCCTATTAACGCGTGCAATGTCTGGTCTTGATCCTGACACGAGTTATTGGAAAGCTCCCACGATGGTCTAGCCCGCAATGTATTCGGGATGTCCACACTCCTGTAGCGTATGTTGAACCGGCACCGTGTCTCTCCGGTTGCCTGCACTCTGGGTACCTCGAAGACCGCGCTCGAACTGGGCAATTCTTCAGACGATGCTCGCAGCACGCGTCGTGACTTTGCGCTTCTCAAAAAGGCTTTCGACCAACAAGTGACTGAAATTTTAGGGCAGGCTCAGAGTCGGCTCTCCGAAAGTGATCGTGATTTTCAGCGGGCTACAGAAGAGCACAGCCGCCAAGAAGAGGTACTTCGAGACGAGAATGCCGACTTACAACGTCAACTTGAGGACTATCGCTTGGCCAACCGACAACTCGAAGATCGACTACGTGGTGGAACGTTCAAGGTCAGTCGTGTGATGAACTTCCCAAACCGTCATAACGCACGGGTTAGCGGCAATTGGCCACACCTGAAAGCACTGTTGGAGAAGTTCAAGGATGGTTCTCTTGCTTCTGACACCTGTAACACACAAATCCAGACCAATGCGGCCGACGAGTTTGATGTCGACCCGGGCGCTTACGAATACGAGGTCGAGCGTGACGATGAAGAGTCCAAGGTTCCTCGACGTATCTAGTCCTCAGGTCGCCATGAAAATGTCTACGGTGGACCTCACGGGACCGTCCTCTACGTAGGCTACCCCAGCCAAGATTCAGCGCAAGTTGTTCAGTGGGTCTAAACTCAAGGCCCTCACGGACTTTCAGCTTCGGCCCAGTGTTTACGCTCCGAGCATGACTGACACCCTGGATCTTACGACGGCTAAGCAACTGTCTGTCACTAAGGCATGTGAGGGTTTGAAGCAAACCGTCATTTGGGATAAGCTGCGTGCGGATATCCAGGAACTAATTCGGTCGCGCATGTCTTTTAAATCAAGCTCTTGCTGCAGCTCGAGCCGATGCTAAAATTCACTCAGACTTAGATGCTCGACATCTCATCTCCATGCTAGTGCGAATCGTCTACTGGAAAAGTCTCGACCGAACTCCTTGGGCCAAGTACGTTCCGCGTTGGTGTTACAAGGAGGCTGAGTCCAAACTTGCCAAGGCTCTCACTTCAGCTGAAGTTCCCATCCGCTGGCCCAATTTACGCAAGGACATCCAGAATGACGCTGTCGAAATTATGGCAGCACTTTATGACAGTGTCACGGAAGAAACTCCTGGATGATCGCATCGATGCCGGTCTCGAAGAGACATTTCGGGATGAACCTGGTTCCTGGACCATCCCTGCCAAATGCTGCCACGTCGAACGAGACATTCAAGGCGGACATCAGCCGCTCAGCGTGGTCATCCCAGTCGGACTGATTCATCTCGGCGACATATGCCCGAACACTCCGAATGACCGTACCGACCTTTCCTGTCCCCATTTGCTTCTGGACGATATCCGAGTGTAGCACGTTGTCGGCTACCTAACCGTTTTCGAAACCTTGTTAACACTTCACTCATGAACCGCGGGCCCTGATCGTGTCGTATCATGGAAGACGCCCGGAACCTCTGGAATACTTGCTCTTCGTAGGCCTCAGCGACATATTGAGCGGTAGTAGATGACATGGGTTTACACATCACATAACCTGAAAACATGTCTTGAAACAAAAAGAGGAACGTATTCCCTCTGGGTGACTCAGGGATGTGGGTCACGAAGTTCATAGAAACTGCCTCGAAAGGATACCGAGGTTCGATATTTCCTGGCGAAGGTCCAGCATTCGGGGGAGCTCCTTTCCACTGGCACAATCCACGCATTCTTTCACAAAATGTTGGACGTCTGCATACATGCCGGGCCAGTGGAATTCAGTACGTAACTTCTCATGAGCCCGGGTGATCCCTTGATGGCCACCTTGGAAATCTTCATGTGCACGGTGCAACATGTTTTCCCGGGTGAACTCGGGACTACCAGTCTTAGATTTACCACGGCGTCTCGTGGTCTTCCGCGAACAAAGTGTGGAAGTCTGTACAATATTCCTCGGTCATCTAGAACGAACAGACCTTCGACCTTTCTGATTTTCTTCAGGCGTGTGGATGAGAACCTGTCCAGGTCGTCTTTTAGGAACGACCTTATCTCTGCTAGATACTCGTCTTCCTCTTGATGAACCTTTATCCGTCTCCAGCGTTCAGCCTGAAACTCTAGCGGTCCCATGGTCGCAACCTCATCGTCATCAACTTCTTGAGTTCGCGATCTCGTGAGTACAGTCATGGCTCGGGCGGCAGAAGGTAGAGAGGCACATTCAGGGCCAGGACCATGTCTCGTCCCTGAATTGCCATCTTCTTCACAAGAGTCTTGTATGGGGTCTCTACTGTGAACTCGAGTGTCGGCGCCTTCCGACGGCTTTACCAACTGTTCGCGAATCTTAGATACTACTTCCAGGTGTCATTTCTCGAGGTCATCCTGAACAGTCCAGGATTCACCTTGGACAAGAGTCGTCAAGATCCGATAACCAGCGGCCTGGTTGAACTCGCGCTTCATATGTACCAATCGGACCGTCTGGAAACGTTTCCTCAGAGATTCGCATTCAGCTAGCCTTCTTTGGAGGTTAGGTTGGTTACAATTAATCATGCCTTAAACTTGTTGAATCATAATGTCCTGAATTCATCTTTCCAAACCCATTGCAAGCTCTTTAAGCAACCCGACGTATTACGCGTCGTTGACGGTGACTCCATTCAGCATGTATCCTCGGATATCCAAATCCTTCCATTCAGGTAGCTGCCACAGAATACATACGCAATTGCCTTTCCTTGTTGAAACTTTGGCTGCACCATCGAAACTCAGGACTACCCCGGAGTACGCTTCTGAAAGCATTTCGACACTCACGACTGGAGGCGGTTTGACGTGCCCCATGGCTGGAATGAGTGCTTCGGCGACTTTATTCAAGTGCTCCCTGGAAGTGATACTTGCACCCATAATGGCGGCTAAGTCATCCTCATCTCGACTGACCTTCCAAATTTCCAAGTCATATTGTGAGAGAGCGACGCCCCAAGGCACCAGACGGCATTCGGCTGTCTTGGAATTGATGACCCACTTCAACACTGAATGTCGAGTGTAGATTATTAGCGGACATCCTTCGATCAGGTTCTTGAACACATGGAGAACTCGCATTACAGCAAGGACTTCCTTCTTAGCAATATGATACTTGACCTCGGCGTCGCTCAGGACACGCCCCGTGTAACGAACGGGTTGAACAACCCCGTCATGCATCTGTCCTAGAACTGCGAAAACCGCCCACTGATTTGCATGAGGGATGATCACAAAAAGCTTCGTCCGATCCGGGTGTCTGAGTAGAGGTGTAGACACAATCTTCCTCTTCAGGATCTCAAAGAATTTCATCGCTTCAGACAAGTCTCGCCCTGCACGCACTTGATCATCGGTCAACTCATAGAGTGAAGCAGCTACATGTACCACGGCGTAATCGTCAATAAATTTGTGGTAGTAATTCAGGCTGCCTAGAAATGACTGAATTACTTTTAGGGTAGACGGAAATGGTAACTCCTGAATGTCTTTTATGATCTACGGGGTGGCACATATCCCTTCAGTACCAATCTCATGAGAGGGGTATGGTATGATACGTTTCCCGAACTCGCTCTTAGGCTAGCTAACTGAGATACTCCAGTACCGTAACCGATAGAGTAACGCATCTAGATCACCACATAATTGATCCCACGTGGCCGCGCCATACCCGATGTCATCAATATACGAACTGCACCCCAAGACTGGTCCCATTTGGGATGGTGCGGGAATGTTCCGCCTGAAAACCGTCATTTGTTCCACAAGTGGTGTCACACTACGTCCTGCATCCACTATATCGCTCGGTGGCTGACGATCCAACTTCAGATAGTCTAACACATCCTGACCCACGAGAGCTTTTTCCTCGGGTGATAACCGCACAAAACCCCACATGCAATTATTGATCATCTGTTGGTAGATTAGTGGGGCGTTTTCAACCGAAGGCATACGTACCCACTGGGAATTCCCCAATGGACAGGTAAATGCCTAGATCAGCTTGTCCCTCGCAGTCATTCGGACTAACTAGAAGCCACTCATCATGTCAAGATTTATAAACCACATCATTCCTTCAAAACCAGTAATGAGATCGTCGATCAGTGGTAGTGGGTAGTCCGACAATGAATGAAACTATTGACGACTCGATAGTCGATGCACATTTGAATGTCTACTCCATTCTTCTTGAGTACGATCATAATTGCGGATGCCCATGTCGATTCAGAGTGTTCAATCAGTGTAGCTTCCAGGAGCTTGTTCAGCAACTCGTACATCTTGATTGCCAAGTGTGGACCGACCGATCGGGGTCGTTGGGCAACTGCTTGGCATCACCCACATCTAAATCACCGATGACACCCCTCGCCGGAGCCGGGGCAGCATTTCTGTCACCTAAGAAGATCTTCTGGTGTCTTTTTAGGATGACCTTCATCTGCCTTTCTTGAACATTCGTGCTCTCGCCAGGTTCTCCAACGTCAGCAGCGTCGATGTCGCAATCAGGAGAGAGGTCGTCTAAGTCGGGTAGCATAACCAGCTGATCCTTCAGCTGAGACATAAGCTCACTCCCTTCACGAATGTAAACCGCCGGTTCCCAATCGAGTTCCTCAGCGCTCACCCGCATACACCTGGCATACGCTGCATCAAGTCTTGCAAGCGGTGTTCCGGGTGCGACAGAAGGGGGTAACTTCAAATCCTCATCCTCTGTAACCGGGTCATCCTGAAATGCATTGCATTCTATCCTTGAGCCGTCCCATCTGGGACTTCTCCACCAGATCCCGAATTGACAACTTTTCCGCCATTCCGGGTGTCGACATCTAGGCGACCAGTTCGAGTGAAACTTCGACAGTCATGAGTGATCCAATCATGCTCGGGGAGTATGCCGCAGGCGTAGCATCTTCAACTGATTCCACGCCATCCGTGTCTCTTTGCGATTGCAGCTCTTCCACAATCTTCGTAACCTGGGCTCGCTCAGGTTCCCTTGGACTCACTAGTGACTTCGTTCGCCACTTGTACTTGGGAACCATAGCTGCAGGTGGAGCCGCATCAGAAGCATCTGTTCATAGGCTTCTTGATGCACCCTCGCCTTCGCGGACAATGTATTTTCCTGAATAATCTGTTGCCATTTCATATACATTCGTAACCCAGGGTGAACGAATTGTCCAACTATGGGGATATTCCCATACTCCGCAATCCGAGCAACGGACGTCCCAAGCTCGATCCAACTATCTCGGTCCGAAACGTTGACCACTTTAATCGCTACAGCCCACGATCGTGCGCCATAAACGAGTTGGGTGACCCATTGGTCTCCCCGTCCTTCCCATACAACATCTTGGAGCGGGCGACACTGTCCATATCAGATGGCCACATTTCCATCTTCCCCAGGTCGCAGATGCAATCCTCGCAGTGGACAGACTGGGATATCCCGGTATTCACATCTTCGTACAATATACCCGTACATCACAATACATTCTTCATTCGGGAGACCTACCGTTCCTTCACGAATACCTAGGCGCATCCTAGCACTGAACATGAATTCCATTCCTAAGAGTACATCCACCTCTTCTCCGATGCTCGTCACCCAAACATCCATGAAATACACAATTCCCCATCACAAATTGATCTTGGTCTGTGCACTCGAAGTAATAACACTCGGGACACCACCCAATCCTGACACCTTAATCTGCTTCTGTGAGTTTAACTTGATCTAGAGCATACACGCAAGGTCCAAACTGATCATACTCACAGTCGCCCTGGTGTCAAGTAATATCTGCGTCCTGAAATACTTCACTGCTCCATGAACCGTGGCACACTGCCGTCTTTCCTCTTCGCGATCATTCTCGACCCACCAACCATACCGTTCCCCGGGGTTTAACTTTAATTCAGGTGTACCTTCGGGTTCTGGAGGCAATGACGGTCCTGAAACACTTTGTCGAATATCCGGAGGAACATGTTCGTCATGAATCATGGAGGTCATACATTGTGGGTTATCTTGGTTCCTGGTTCTCAGCTCGGGCCAACATACGCTAACACACACAATTCCAATGGTTCTCTCAGCCCGACGCGTACCGAACCCCCATTCGGTGGGCTTAGTGATTTAACTGCACTTCCACAGAATCGCCCTTGCCATTCAGGATGTCTTTCCGAACACGGCTGGGCAGGTCAGCTAGGCCTCCCTGAAGTACGAGTTTCGTGAGTTCTTGAAAAGCTTTCTACTCTTCGCACTTCGTGCACGACTTGGTCATACAACTTCGGGTTAGGTGTCCACGTCTGTGGCATTGTCCACATACCGTGTCAGTCCAGCGCTTCTCCAGGCGATGTCCAAACTCCTTGCACTTCTCACAAAACTCCAATCGATCCGGGTTGTGGTAGGGCTGGTATCCCTGAAACGCCGCTGGCTGCGCTGGCGGTGGCATCGGTGGTTTCGGATTAGCACTTGAACCACTTCTGGCATTAGGGTTCGCCGGTTTCCATCCCACGTTGTTCAGAATGCGATAACCCTCGTGAATCAACTCTTCCCTGCTTAGGAATGCTCCATTCGAGTTGTCCCAAATCTAGACATCCTGAATTGCGGCAGATAGTTCTTGGAATGCAGCGTCATTTTCACCCACATCTTGCTCAACCTGGGCTGGCTGCTAGACATCCGCACCTTCATCATCCTCAGCCACATAAGCTCGGTTCGAGTTCCGATGTCGCATTCCATCTCGGGCGACGTTGTCCGTTTTGAAGTCACGATTGGTAGGCGATCGGGTAGAATAGTTTCCATTCGCATTCACCTCTTCTTGTTGTTTCAGAACATACTCCAGGTCGGAAACCTTGTAGAACCTCTGACTCTGCAATGTCGACCTGAGCGACATGTCCTTCAGATTCTTGATGAACCGCTTGATGTGTTGTTCGCGTCGGCGTTCAGACTTCATAAATTTCACATCCGCTCGTTCAGCAGCCTGGTTCAGGCGATACAGTAACGCCAGAGCTGTTTTATCCTTGTACTGCTTCATCGTGTAGTACTTCTCAGAATCAGACACCCGGGACTTGCAATATTCACGCTTGAACTTTCGAGCCAGGCGTCCCCAATTCTTACGCACACGTTTCCCTAGCTGGCCCATCCAGTTTCCGGCGGAGGTAACATCTTCGCCTTGAATTCGTATACCTTCATCTGCTCTGTCCAACCAGGCTGGATGGTCATGTTCAGGAACTTCTCCCACCATCGGCGACGTGCCGTCAGGGACTGCTTCTCGTCGAAGTCGACCAAAGCGTTGGTGAATGTCCTGAGAGTGAGCATGTTCCCACCCTTAGCGTTGGTAACCATAGTCGCGTAGGGTGGCTTGTCGTCCGACGAGCTATCGGAGTCACTTGAGCTATCGCCTTCTTCGCTAGACTCGCCACTCGAGCTAGGTTCTGAGGGGTCTTCATTCTGGTGTGAATGCTTCTTGCGTAGCTCCTTTTTAGGCGGCTCCTTGTCTTCCGATCTTGCAGCTCCCGCCGATTTTGCTTCCGTCTGTCGTGACTTCACTCAGGAGCCGCTCGTCTTTGCGATCCTGGTTCCATATTCCACTTTCGATCGGACATCTCCCTTCTCATACTTTGTTTCAGTCAGACTCGGGAGAGTCAGTAGGAGCTCAGCCGCAAAGGCACTGTCGCCAGATGTGTCCTGGTTATCTACCGCGTCATCCTTGATCGCGTTACTTGATCGTGGGTATACTGTCGTATGGTCACTTTGAACTTCTGGTGATATTGGATAAGTGTTGCTCGAACTTGTTCCGCGAACGTTGTTCGACCTTCGGTTAGCTTTCTGATCGTGATTGCGCGCCTCCTTCAAGGGGGTGATCTCCTCTTGCTGACATTGCACCTGAGCACTCATCACGGATTCCCACCGGTCATTCAGGCTCTTCTGCAGGTTAACTGCCCAAGACGCATTCGCCTTTTTGGCCTCCGCTTCGCGTCGCTGCCAGCGCTCTTCAAACTGGGTTTCGGCGGCCTTCAGCGCGCAGGCGACTTCACGGCTGGTGATCTCATTCGACACAGCCTCGGCAGGTCCGGTCGATGCCTGGACTGGGGAAGTTGACACTTCGACACTCGGAACATTCACACTCTTGACGACCCTGGTCGGGCCGCCAGCATCTGGATCGCTTGGAATGCTTGGCCGACACACTGATTGAGCTGGACTTGAGTGGTGACTTGCTTCGACTCGGACCAACATTTCTTTTGTCGATCGCATGGCATCCAGGGCATCCGGAGACGCCCGTGACGTCGCCGAATAGCGCGACCTTCCTGAGCAGCTCGTCATTTCAGACTTGGTCGACCGACTTGGCGACCGTCTGGATGAACGCCTTGAGCGTCTCAAATGTCGTCGTCTCCGCGCGTCGTCACTGGATTCTGACTCACTCGGAGAGTCATTGCTCGGGCTCGACCTTCGTCTGTGAGCGTACTTCCCAGATGTCTTCGACCTGTCATCGCTCCGAATGATGGCCCGCCGCGACTCCGACATATCGACATCGTCAGGGTTGGCTGGCATCGGCGACACCAGGAGGACAGTCTCAGTTTCTAGAACACCCAAGCTACTTTTAGTTTGGGCGACTCCTCCGTGAGCTGCGAATACCATTCCGGTTGGGAGGGCATGCGCGAACTGCATGCGCTGTGTAGCGCCTCCTGTCATGGACCACATCGAGGACGCCGAGGACAAACCATTCCCAGATGACTGGGATTGAAACGGCCCAGAGAGGTTCGACTCATCTGAATTTGTCGCCGTAGCTCCAAACCGCGTTTACCCATACCCTGAGCTTGGCATCTGGGATCCCCTTCGAGCTGCCGACATGTCGCTCGGGGTAGGCATGCTCCGATCATCCTGAGTTGACGTCCGGTAGAACATCAGCGAACTCATTGACGGAATGGACGACGGCCGTGGTGGTGCAAGTTGCTGGCGCTTCGATTCAGGTTCCCCAAGTGATGAACTCACAGGTCTGCGATATACTCGGACTCCAGCTCTCTTCCAGCGCGTGATACACTCACTTCCAAGTAGCTCCGCCTCGTAACTCGACATCAATGAATCACCTTCAACATCTTCCGGGTTCAGCTTCTCCGATTGATCCTTCAGGTTGTGTGCATCCAGGGGAGACACGACTCGACCTTGCTCCTGAAGTGACTTGTTGCCATTCCAGAAGTTCCACAGTCAAGAGGTGCTGCAACTCCTCAGCCACCCTTCGCATCATTTCGACTTCACTCTTGGGTGCGAATACTCGAAACTATTCTGGAACCAGGTTACGGAACTTGTCTCCGGTCTCAAAGAACATCGTTTGCAGAACTGCGGCGCACTCTCGTATGGACAGCTCGTTCAGGGGCACTGCTACTGACGTGAGGTCAGCAGACAGGTTCGGCTCCAATCTGACAAGCCTCCATTTAGAGATCCACGTCTGCGCTCGTGCTCCCGATGACAACCGCGACGCCAAATATTTTAACGTTGCCATGACGGTCCCATACCACGCCTGAAAATTGGGCGCAGGGTGAGGCCAGGCGTACTCAATGATCGGAGACATCACGAACTCCAGAGAAACTTGTTCCGATCGACCCACTTGGCATCCACGTATGGCTTCACCAAATTCGGGCTACCGGATTCTCAGATGCCCCAGAGTCGTCCACGGCAGTCAGATCAACTGTTTCTTGGGTCGATCTTGGAACCTGTATCCGGGATGCTGCCTCCTCATTCGGCATTTGCACACACGAGCTCGAAGATACCGACGTATCGAGCCTCAACTGTGAGTCGTCACCCAGGATGTCCGACGTAGCTTCCTCCTTGACGGTGGAT